CCCCCCCCCCCCGGGGGGTGTCAGGCACTGAGGAAGAGCCGCTGGTACCACTTGTTCATCTGCTCAAGAAAGATGAAGGTGAGCACGGTGTGGGGGCCCAGGCGGGCATAGTAGGGGGTGAAGCCCTTCCAGAGGCTGAAGAAGCCCTCATACCGCACCACCTTCAGCAGCACGTCCTGTGGGGAGAGCAGTGTGTCAGGGGGAGGGCGCCCAAAAATAAACCTAAAAAATGGCATGGATGCCTTTCCAGAAGAATGGGGAACCTTCTTGAAATAACATGGACGCACTCAAAAAGATGAGGAAGCTTGCCAAAACTATGAGAAACCTTCCAAAAATTACAGGGATCGCCCCTCCCTCCCACAAGATAACGGGGAACTTTCCCAAAATGGTAGGGGAGCTCCCCAGAATTATAGGCATCTCCTCAAAATTACCTGAATTTTTCCCCCTGCCTCCAATGACAGGGAACACCCCAAAAATCATGTAAAAACCCCCCCCAGTTGAAAGGGAACTCCCAAAATGACAGTGGAGCCCCTCCTAAATTGATGGGGACTCCCAAATGGTGTTGCCTCCCAAACCCTGCTCACTCACCAGCCCATTGCGGTACTCAGGTTTCCCGTCTATTGTCCGCATGTTCTGGATCCTGTTGGGGGAAATTTTGGGGTTAAACAGGCGGTTTTGGGGTGACCATGAACCACATTTGTGATTATCTAAGGGCGAGCAGGGGAGCAACCCGGCCACCCCCCAAATGAACCCACCGGGTCTTGACGATGTCGACGGGCATGGAGGCTGCCGTGGTCACCAGCCCACTGATCATGCTGGCACAGAAGTGGCACAGGATGTCGTCACGGAAATGCCCTGGGGGCACCCCAAAACATCAGAGGGGAATGGAGGGAGAGTGGACTAGGATTTAGGATTTCCCCATGGCAGACCCACCCCCTGAACTCACCAGAGTCAAGCAAGAATTGTTTGGATTGGGAGTATGAGGCAAGTTGGGCAGCGTTGACCACCACAGCACGGGCCATGGTGGGGATACAGCCCTATGGGAAAACAGGGTGTTTGGGTGAGTCCTGTGCGCCCCCAGACCCTGCCACATCACCCGCTGCATTCCCACTTTCCTCCACAGACCATGCTCTCCTCCCTCACCACAGTTGGGGACACAGCACTGGGATGGGAGACAGGAGTTTGGGGGATACCCAGCTTGCCCCCCCAGAGCATGAGGACACCCCCAGATCCTTGGGGAGGCAGCAGGGGAGTCATGGGAGGATCTTGGGGTCCCACAGCTCCCACTTACCCTCCACAGCGTGAACACCCCTTCCTCCCTTGCCATCCTCACGAGGGCGTCAAACACGTTGTGATAGCCGCGGCGCTCACCAGGGGGCAGCCTGGGATTCGGGGCAAAAACACGGGATTTTGGTAAAAAAAGCAGACTTGGGGGGCAGGTGGGGACGCAGATACTTGTTGTACGGTTGGGGGCTCACCTGCCATCAGCTGTCATGCGGATGAGGGCCACCTCAGCCGGGGTCCCCACAAAGGCCCCCGCAGCCCCTGCCGTCATTCCCATGGCTGCCTTGGCCAGGAATGGAGGGGGGGTCCCATCAGCACCACCAAAACGCTCCAGGAGGACGCTGTAGATGCCCAGGCGGGTGGTGGTGTAGGTGGCCTGGCGCAGAAGCCCCGCTGACAGCCTGTGGGGACACAGAGAGTAGGGAGGAGTCCCAAAAATGGTGGGGCATGAAAGAGCTTAAGGCTCGTAGGTGCTTGGAGTTTTGAGGGCTCTGTATCCCCTGACCAGCAAGCTCTTGCAGCATGGGACTGACCCCAGGGCATGCAGGGACAAGAGGTTTCAAGGGGATCCCAGGGGGTTTGGGAGTTCAAGAGATGTCCCAGGGATTTGGAGGTCCAGGATGGTTGCAGGTCCATACCCCGTGTAGATGCCCCTCAGTCCCTCGTGGCGCAGGATGGACCCCAGGGCGTGCAGGGACGTCCGGTACTCACGGCCCTTGGCCCCAGCCCCGCTCAGCTGCATCCGATTCTTCACCAAGTCCAGGGGCTGCACAAAGACTGTAGCCCCCATCCTGAAGGAAGGGGGTCGGGGGACCCCAAAAATACTTGAACCTGTCTCCACAGCTCCCCAAATCCACCCACAGCCCTCTCAGAGGAAACCTGGGTGACGAGGAAGTCTGAAGGAGCTTTGGGGATCTGTGGGGGGACACAGAACGGGTTTGAGGGGAGATTTATGGGATTTCGGGAGGTTTGAAAGGGTGTAGTGGATTTGAATTGATTTAGGAGGGCAGTGGCGGGTCTGGAAGGAAGCATTTGAGGGATTCGGAAGGGATTTGGGGGAGGCTATGGGGAGGTAATGATTGGGATCGGGGGATATTAAAGGGTTTGGAGCGGGGGGCTGAAAGGTTAGGAGCGGCATCGGGGGTGGTTTAGGGGTGACCTGAAAGGTCTGGGCAGGGGGATCCCGGTTTTGGCGAGGAGCGGGGGTGTGAGGGGGGAGGC